GAATGTGGAAAAAAAAAATCAGGAACCAACACAGCCATGATGGTCCCAGTGCAGAAAAAAACATTTATTACCTCCACAGTACAGTCTGTGAGAAAAATCACACATTCAGTTCTCTAGTAATCTTTTTTGTGCAGCAATAAAGCTGTTTCATATCAAGGTTAGAAATGCATGAGCACCTTAAGCGTAGGCGCAGTTTTCACACTACTTAGCCTTACAGTGCAATCACAGGGCAGTATTTGAGAAAGCTGATCTACTTAACCTGGTGACACATTCTGCTGAGTCTGCTGTCTGTACAGTTTTAAGCTAGTTTGCATGGTATTTCTGAAGCCGGACATGGTTTCACATGACAATAAAATATGCAGGAAGATTGAAAAATAATTACAAGCATACCTCAAGTGTGGTAAGAAAAATCTGTTTATGCCATATCTAAAAAAAAGATGATGCATTTTAAGCTTCTCAAAGAGCAACAAATGTAAGGAAGTTAAAGTTATTCATGCACTATTTTAAATACCAGTTTCATTTCAATGCATATCAAAGACAGTCTGACAATGAAGTTTGCACTCTGCAGCCCACTGCCTCAATTATCCCAGTACAAAAACTACCCCCACCAGGACAGTATAATGGGTGCTTTTTCTCTGTATGAGTGTGTGTATAGTCTTAGAAATCCACACTGATAATCTTCACACAACCTGACCTGCACGTACTCCTGTCGCTAATAATCGCCTTTCGTTCTGTGGCTTACACAAGCTGGTACAGCAGCCTAATCAATAATACAGCACCTTATGACATAAAGTGTAGCGCTGGGCAAGGTGATAAATTTAACTTACCTTCAATATTCTCTAAGTACCTATAAAGTTAGATTTTTACACAGCATACCATTATGTCACATACATAAACTTTCCACTTTTATCCTGGAGGAAATTGGTTTGCAGCCAGGCATTTAACTTGGTCATAAGGCACAAAAGCTTACTCACATACAACAATAAAGAAGATATATAACAGTAACCTATCAAACAGTCATAAATATTAACATATAGATGGAACAAATAGAACCAAAGTGAGACTGACAGACCAAACTCCCACCATCTGAATTCTTGAAAAATGAGGGATTAAAGGTCCAGTGTGTAGGATTTAGAGGCATCTCTTGGCAGAAATGGTATATAATATTCAAAGCTATGTTTTCATTAGTTTACAATCACCTGAAACTACCTTAGAATGAGCCATTTACATCCACATATGGGGTGGGACCTTTTCCAAGGTGTCCGCCATAGTGTTCTACAGTAGCCCGGATCGGACAAAGCAAACACCGGCTCTAGATACATACCACTGGAGTTTTCGTGTTGATCACTGTTTTTCTCCTACATACTTGGCAGATGGGAGAAGTTTCAGGTATGCAACCACAACGGCAGATGCCACTAAACCATACACACTATACCTTTAAGCCCCATATGTGAGGGAAAGTGCAAAGTGTGAAGTGGATTTTAAACTTTATATTCAAATGCGAGGTGTGAATTTAAATGGTAGGTATGGTTGATAAATAATACAGTCTATTTTATGCATGTATTTTAATTATATCGTGGTGTTTCAAAACTAGAATAACCGCCTCGCTGTTGTATGCCTCCGTCAACTAGTCAAGCTGCAGTTTACTTGCACATGGGAAAAGTTTTTTTTTTTTATATACTTTATTAATCCCCGAGGGGAAATTCAATAAAGAGAAGAGAAAGCTCTTTCTGGCAAAAAATGTATACATTTTAACCCAAACCACAATTTTTTTTGCTGACTTTAACAAAGAAATTCTTTTATGGCAGAAAGCCCTCTAAGCAAACTTCTCTGAAACAGCAATTTACACAGACATCTGTCCAGACTCATATATGGTAATATAGTGAAGACTTTGAAGGAATTGAATAAAAAGTTAGAAGCCTAAGTGCATTTTTTGGGCAAACGTGGATGATTCACACACACCTTCAACCCTGGCAGCACAGAAGATCTATACAATCACCAAAGTTTCAAGGTAAGCACCCAGGATTAGCGTCTACAGTTCAGTATTTGACCAAATGTCTCCCCTTCTGTGAGTTATGGCGTTAAATAATGGCCAGAAAACATCAAGTTGACCTTTGTCCTTTTGGAATTAAGTGTCACCTATTTATCCTATTCGACAGTTGGACGGAATTTTGTCATTATAAGCATATGAATTCATGAGTTCTGGCCAAAAACATGTTATGTGAGGTCATTAGTGACCTTGACCTTTGACCGCAAAAATCCTATCAGTTCATCCTTGAGTACAAGTGGATGTTAATGCCAAGAGTTCCTGAGATAAGACATTTACCAGAATGGTACAGACAGATGGATGAACAAGCTGAAAACACAGCACCTCTGGCTACAGCTGTTGCAGGCGCAGAGGCATAAAAATCTATTGAAACTGTGAACCATCCATGAATTTGAATTATCCACAATCAAGGTTTATCATCAGGTCATATCATGCAGCTTAACATTTAGCCCTTATGCTGCCTGTATCACACTACAGTGATAACACATCTTATTCTCTCCTTTAGTCCCGCTTTCAATCTTTCTACCTTATTTAGGCCTCATGTTGGAGAGGTGTGTGAGTAAAGGTTTGGCTGCCTGATGCACTCACGTCTCCGGGCTGGGGGTAGATCCCCAAAGTGGAGCAGTTAGTACAGATTTGACACTGAAACACAGATTCCATTACACACAATCTGGAAATGTCTTTACTTCATAGTAAAGCTATTTATGAAGGCATTATGTTTCTGTTATTTTGTTGGAAAAAAAAAAGATGAGGGTCTGGTTTTGGATTTTGGGGGGAACATTCCTGAGAAATCTGTCACTGACACACACGGCCCAAAATAGCACCAAGGAGATATTTTCTTTCTATTACGGGTGTTCAGGGTTTCTATAAAAAGCAAAGGAATGACTATTGGCTCTGAGGATAAACATGCTGGCTTGTGAAACATTTCTCTGCATATCTTAACCATGACCATTAATTTTAATCACCAATGCACTACAGTGCTGGCACTGCTTTACCCAGAATCCCTTTGCATAAAAAATAAATGTACTGAAAGTTGCTTGTTTTTTTAAGTATATCAATGGATTTTTTTTAAGTAAAAGACACAAACACAAAACTGCTCCAGAGAAAAAGAGTCCAAACTTAGAATATAGTTGGTTAGATGTGCTTTAAGAGAGAAATAAACATGCTTTTGTAGTCAGATCAGTTATTAAATAATGTAATTGTCTTCGGCAAAATAATAATGCCTCATTACTGACACTTTATTATATAATATGTGTGCAGGTGGCGTGCAAGGAAACTGGTGCATCAATCAAAAGTGTTTGTGTACCAACAGTTCACTTGTTTCCAGTATCATATCCATGCACAGGTACAAAAACAGAGATGCATTACAATTAAAGACAGAAAAACCTAAAAATCATTAGCCATCAAAGCCATCAAAGTGCAACAATGTGGGTGGGTGTGAGGTCTGCAAAGGCATGCATGACTGCAAATGGCTTCAGTCGTGTTTCTAAGCAACATTCACATCCACTGCTCTTCCCTTTCTTCTCTCATGCCGCCTACGACTGGCTATTTCAGTGAGGACAAGCATTCCACTCCAAAAGCATCCATCTCAAACAGTGAACAACTCTTACTGTAACGATACGGGTTTTGACTGGAAAACACCCAGTAAAGGTGAGACAGCCACTATCTGTTTTACACACTAAGGAGGAACTACTGTGACCTTGCTCCCCAATGCTGGACTCAAAATTTGCGAGAACAATGGACACTATTGTACTCCCCCACATAGCTGACTGAATTTGCAATAATTTACAAATATTAGGCATGTAAAATTGCAGGCTGTTAAAGATTTAAATCAGACCCTCAGGTTAAACTGTTGTTTTTCCCCATTTTCTGTTTACATATATTTGTATCTGTGCTCCTTTTATAGACGTTTAACTCAACAGAGATCTTGCTCTCCACAAATCCATGCGCTAGTCATGCCATGTAGTGTACTGTGTCTATAAATGAGTAAAAGCAGGGATGTACTCCACCTAATTCCTCCTCTGTAGGACAGTCTGTCTCTCACCAGAACATGCCATTTAACCAGAGCTCACCTTCCTGCCCTGCCACACACTCCTAATCTCATGGAAACTCTACATAAACTATGTATCTCATTTGGTAGGCATTCTTTTCTCCAGTCGCCAACTTCTGACAACTACTTCTGACACTCCCTCCATCCCCTAAAACTTATCCTATTCATCCAGCAACCCTCCAGCTTTTTCCTGTCTGGCGTTTGGCTGTGTCATTACGGTCACCGTGACAACAGATGAGTCAGACGCTGTGGAGACGCCTCACTTCCTGTGAATGTATCTCAGACTGTGACCGAATGAATGACTGAACCAGCACGTAGAAATTACTCCCTAAAGACTGATTCATAGTCAGCGGGATCAAATCCTTATCTGGAGCAGTGCAGAGTATCTGTGGATGTTTGTGGTGTTTGTAGGATTATTCAAAAAAAACTTGCATCACATTCACAGACTCCTCTCACAGTGACTCAACATGTCTGTTTAATAGCCTGCGTCGTATCGCTAACTCCATAAATCATGGTTTCTCAAGCTCATGACCCTGTTTTTAGGTCCTTAGAGTCTCATGACACCTACAATTACAGCTGACAAGTCGTCATGTGAAATTGAGCATGGCATACTTTTTCTGTTTATAAGAGCCTGGAGGAAGCTCTAAATGGATTACCCAGACATGATTAAAATCTATTTAGTTATTTTTCTAGTCTTATTTATTTTTTCTGAAATAGCAAAATATCAACAAGCAGCGGGCTGCTAGGGACCCCAGGACTGAGAAACTCCACCATTAATCATCCGCAACTGCTCAAGCCATGCATACACAGAAGCTGACTCAGCCATGCAGACATACACATGTGCACACATGGTTGTATGTACACAAGCTTCACACAGCCATGAACACATGCTACAGTACTTACATCGGTTTTCCTAAACTTCGCTTTGAGGCTCTTCATGTTCAGTCTGGTCCATGCAGTCACTCACTCAATCACTCAGTCAAGGCTGTGAAGGAAAAAAGGCGCAGATGTTTAAACTCAGCCTCGGTGATGTTTGCCTCCATTTCAAATGTGATTTAGTGTTTCTATAAGACAAACTTCCTGATTGGTGACACTTTATCCACCCAGGTTGCAGTCAGTATGAGACTGTGCTGTGCAGAAGCAGCAATTTATGGTAAGAACAATCCACAGCCTTAATTAATTTTCCTTATAAAGACTAAAATACGCCGTTTATGAAAGCCTCACCAGCAGCACGACTTCTAGTACTACAGTAGGCAACAAAAACAATGAGTAATGATGATAATGAGTTTGATCACAGCACTCTGTACTCCAGCTGTAACAAACCCAAAGCACTTGTACATTCAACGAATCCTCTCAATTCAATGGGTACTTTGAGGAACAGACTTTACCACATGCAATTCTAATTTAAACCTGTTGCTGGAAATAGTATCTAGCTTTGTATTGTTTCCTGTAAGGATGTTTTAAATCACCGCAGAGCCCTTGGGGGATGTCTGGTGACGGCATTTTTGTGCCTTAACCACCTCTGGCGATTTCCAGTTTTTCGTGCCTGAAATGACCGTCAGTGATTTACTCCCAAAGTATCACCGGGAGCATTCCAGTGAAATTAGTCTGACTTTATTATCATTATACCCAGGTTTGCCTGTGTCTGCTTGTGTTTCAACACAGAGAACCAAGTAAGCTATTTGAGCCTCTTTGCAATGAAGGGATAATATTAAAAATGTAAGCGCTCATAAGGATTTGAAGACACAATGCACAAGTTAGAAGGAGTCATTTTAAGTTTAAAGAGTCTTTACGTGGGTGGATACTGATGTATTAGAGGTGTACTGTAGGTGGGTGCATCAAGGACAGCCATGTCTGGGCTCCTCTGGCAGCATGTAAGCCAACAAGATTAACATACATTTGCCTGACACATTCATTTGGCAGTTTTTCTGTAAGATATCAGCAGCCCATGAATGGCAACAATTAATAAGTGGTAGTGGATTGTGAACACAGAGTTATCGAAGCTAATTTTTTAAAAATGAGCAGAGCAATCAAGCACAGCTGTGGTCTCACTGTTGGGCAGCAAACTTAACCACTGAGCCCATTGTCAAAGTTTCTATAGGAGCACGGATTAAATCACCTGCTACCAACAATCAGTTCAGACCACATTTTATAAAGTAGCTATCTGGGTATTTGCAAACTGCCCCTTAAACAGTGGAAGTTATGAATGAATACATGCACAAACAAGGTCCTAAATGGATATCTAAAAATGTGAGCACACATAAAGTAATTTTAAGTTGAAAGACTCTTTAGGTGGGTGGATACTGATGTATTAGAGGGGTGTGCTGTAGGTGGGTGCATCCATAAGGCAATTTTTCTGTAATATATCAGCAGCTTATCAATGGCAAATGTGTTGAAAACGACAATAAGTGGTAATGTATTGTGAACACCTCTAAAGGTATTGGACGCCAATTTGAAAGTGAGCAATCAAACACAGCTGTGGTCCCACTGTTGGGCAGCAAACTTAACCACTGAACCCATTGTCAAAGTTTCTATTGTAGCACGAATTGCGGCCAACAAGCAGTTGAGTTCACATTTTAGAAAGTAGCTACCTGAGTATTTGGACACTGCCCCTCAAACAATGGAAGTTGAATACATGCTCAAACACGGCTGCAGCTCGTTTAGCACAAAGTAGGCTATCAAACGCGCGCGCCGTGCATCATAATACACAAACAGTCAGCCTGGACTCTTTGTAACAGGAGCTGAACGCGTTTAACTCAACACTGACACTTACAAATACCTAGTTGTGAGGCTTTTGTGACAATTACCACCCATTATTTCAGCCGACAACAGCTAACATGATATGAAATTACCGGACGCACTTACCCGGTTCTGTGCTGGAGTCGCAGGAGAGGGCTGGACACATAAAAGAAACTGACACACAACCGCTTTTTGAGCCAAAAACGGACGAGCTACGGAGCCGGTGAGGAAACAGCGAGCCGTGGTTGAGCTAAGTCGAGCAGGAGGATGCATAAACGAGGGGGGAAACAGTGCGCCCCGACACACTGGCCCGCATACATTAAAAGTTGTTCACGGACTCTTTGCCTGTGTGTCTCTCTGCTCGGGACTCTCCACTCAACTGCTGTTGCCCGGTTTAGGAAAGTGACGTCACTCCCCCTGTGCTCTCGTGACCGCGGCGAGCGAGCCCTCTTCTGTTCTCTATTGTGCCCCATTCATGTTCTAGTTAGAGGGGTGTTTTCCACAAAACCACACTCACACAGCCACAGCAGAATAAATTATAATATAATAAACACAGTATATATGTTCAGGATTTTTGACTGGACCCCCTGAACTCCCATGACCCCCCAAAAACGACCAACTGTCATGTTTTCATACAACAAACTTATGTGTAAATGGAGCTGCACTATAACTACACAATGTATTTTATATTAAGACTAATGATGTGTATTTGCTTAAACAGGTATCCCAGCATATTATGCACCTCCAAAACAAGTACTTACAAGAGACAAGCTTTAATAAGTGTAATCAAAAGTAATGAAACAGGTTCCAGGATATTTTAACTTCCACTCCCAGTGATTCAACCTCCAAAAATTTGCATCATACATTTCCCATAATGCATCTCAGACTTCATAAAGACTCAGTACAGCTGTTTTCAGAGGCTGCAGTAGCCCACTCATAATGTGTAAACCAGCTTGTCTTGTGTGAAATCAGTGTTTATCATCTCCATGAGAGATTGAGACACTCTGCCAGTCAAACAAGTCATGTTGATGATACGGGCCTGTGTCGCAACACCTCTGCAATGAAACTTACTAAAGCAGGTAAGAACGTGTCTGAGGTGTAAGCTTGTCATGTTGATGCTATTTGGTAAGATGAGATAATGCAAGTTGAGCTACCTGGCTTTGTTTGTGTGTCTGTCAAAATAAACCAAAACTATTAATGTAAATGTTCCAATGTTATGATTTACAGCCAGTGTCTGTTCCAGTACATACCATTACCATACACTCCGTGGTGCTTTACCCACATTGTTTTGGCATATCTGGACATATTTTCTGAATGAATATGAGCAGTGTCTTTGAAATTATGCAATTGTGAAATCTAAACAATAAGAGAAAAAAATGGGATCATGTGACAAAGAGACAGAGATGCATGCTCATAGCTTACTCTGCTTAGCCAAGGTGTGGCCCCTATTATATGAAATTTTGACTCAACACCTATTATGACTCCAGTTTATAGGGCCAACAAAGAATGTAGGCAGTGGCATGAAGTCTCAGTAAATGTCAAGACAGTGACACCTAGTGGAGAAACTACTTACTACATTGTTGTTCTGTATTATGAATAGTGTATTTAAGAGTACATAGTTGGCAAGTGTCTTAATAAAAGTAGCTGAAATGTGGCCTATTCCCACATGTGAGAAAATATCTGACCCATATCAGCAACTTGACTTTTCACCCATGATAATACAAGTGACAGAACAAAACATAAAATTTTAGGTGTGTGGTTTCTATGTTATTAGGAACCTTTAGTAAAACTGATGGGTCTGCATTTTCTTCTAGATCCTGATCCTGTCTGCACCCTTCAGGTAAGGATACATGTAACACTGGAATTACCTGTATGATACAGTGGGTAACAAGAAATTACTACTTTTTTACTACTACTATTATTAATACTATTTGATATTTATTTTGAACGTGTAAAAAAAAAGACATGCACATACAAAAAGCAGACAGACAGAAAGAAAGCAGTATTTGCAAATAATGAAAAGCAGTTGTCAGTGTATAGTTACTTTGATTTACACACTTGAAAAAGAGTGGGAGGAAGTATGACCTTATTAAATCACACCCCTCTACAAGCCATTGAGTGAAGTGAAACAGACAGCTTCCTTATGTAGATAAACTTATACCTAAGACTTTTCTAAATATAACATTGTTATTAACATGTAACGTTGTCACACAAAAATAACCCATGTATATGTATATAATAGTAATCACCAAATATATATCTTACAAAAACCTGTTTTAGTATATAATATAAACTACCAGTTATCCATGACCTACAAAGATAAACCAGTCCAAATGTGTGATATTTGTGTATATATATAGAGAGAGAGATATATATAGATAGATAGATAGATATTATTTGTATGTATGTATATATATATATATATAATACCAACTGTATTTTAGTAGGTCAAGAAATGATTCAAGGCAGTTAAGTTCCTTGTTCAAGAAAATATGATTTATTGTTGGTACAGAGAGGTTGAACAAAACTGGGAAAAACAAGGATACATTTATGTCAAGAAAAAAGCAGGCCCACTTGTTATTGAATTTATCTGTTACAGGTTAAAAAATAGTTCTGACCCAGTATTAACCTCTGTTTGTGGTCATTTCTAAACACTGTTGTGTGTCCCTACACAAGACATAAACAAGCCAGATAATAATTCAGGACCCAACTGGAAGGCCTTTCAGTGTATACTCTTTACTTTACCACAAACCAGCTGTCACAAAATGAATAGGCCTATATCTTTAGTGCCACCCTCATACAATCTGCTGGGTGTACTCATGATTCCCAGGAAATGAACCCTCTTAATTTAGTGATGTCTTGTGTGTACAGCTGGTCAAATGTCACAAGCCCCAAATGTCATATTTTAATGTGTTGGGCAGATTGACCAGATAATATATGCTTAATTTGTTTAAGTAGACAAAAAAAAAGCACAAAAATATATTGTGTTTAATCTACTTAAGAAATTTAAGGCAACATTCTGCATCAGATAATTATGTAGATCAAGCAAGGTTAGTCTTTGTATAAACTGCTTAATTTTTTGTATGAAAAAAAAATTGATTTTATTTGCCAAAATGAGTTGACTTTACTTGGAAAATTATTTGTTATGTACAAAATCATTAAGTAATTTTCACAAAGACCAGTCTGGGTTGATCTACATAATAACCTGAAGCAAAAAGTTACCTTACTTTTTTTAAGTAGTTCAAGCCCAGTGTTTTTTATCAGTGTATTGATGGTTACCATATCCATCCTTGAATCTACACCTCGCAATCTGGTCTTTTAAAATGTATGTAAAGACAGAAACAATGATGCAATGGAATCTCGTGGTTTTGTTTACACTCAGATAACACTCAGACACCAAGCTTTACCCTGAGTTTCAGCATGGTTATGCTAACATTCCAGCTGTTGGACTGTATGAAAGCTCAGATTTGATGTAATTTTATTGAAATACATCTTTTACCTGATTCTTAATGTCCAGTGTTTGTTGCCTCACATTAAATAACTCAACAGACTTCCCAATAACACTGTTGTAGAAATGGATTCATGTAAAACCTGCAAGTATTTTACGTATTTTTGTGTGTGTTTAACTTCTGTTCGTCTTTTGCTTTTGCTTTAGTTTCTGTGCTCCCCACCTGTGGCATAAGCTCCCTTAATATAGGCCTACCTGAGCTCTGCTAAAACTTTTTAAAAATCCGGGCTTAAAAAATTTTGTTTATTGCGGCTTTGTCTTTAAACTGCATCTATGTATTTGCTTCCATTTGCCGTTTTTATGGTGTTTTATGTTTGGCGTTCTTTTTTTATTCGTCTTTTGATGCAATTTGAACATTTCTTAATGTATTATATCTTATGTATTTCTATGCCCCTGTAATGCACTTGGAATTGTCTTGTCATGTGTTCACTGTAGTGCATCAAGAACCAAATTTAGACATTACACGCTTAATGTATACAGCCAAAAAAAGTATAGTGA